GAGTTCATTGCTTGTAGTTGTCTCGGATCTCACAATTACATGATCTTAGATTTTAGAAACCAAAAGCCAAAGTTTAAAATTGGAATAAATTATAGTTTGAGTTAATAATTTTAAGTTAGACGTAACTTGAATTATTTTGAGGGTGTAATAAAGATTTCATCAAACTTAGAGTGGTTTTAATTAAAATACACTTTTGTATCTTGAGAAAGAACAATTGCTAATTTAGGAAATCTTCAACTTTAGGAAAATCTTCCCCTTTTAAATCAGAAATTTCTAAAAAATTGAAATTAATTATAAAGCATAGATAGAGGAAGAGTGCTTAAAATTCCAATTCAAGCGTACAAATTCAAGCGTAGATAGAGGAACAGTTGCTATCTTTTTCCAATTGTTTATTAAAATATCAAATTTGAATTGCTTTACTTTATTACTTAATTTAGTTCATTTTATTTATTTATTTTAAGAATTTTATCCATCCATTTAGATAACATATAGTTACTTAAAGTTCGGCACTCAAAACGATCCTCGAGGGAACAATAATATTTTATTGATTCTTGACATAATACACTTGCAGATTTTACACAATAATTTTTCTTTAACATGATCACTACTAACTATCAGCAACTACTAGCTAACTTTTAACATTTTAGTTATTTATGGAGATTTATTATGGATTTAAGATATTTAGAGAATATATTTTAGTTATTATCAGTAAGTGACAGGATTCTACTGTAAAGGTCTTACAGTTTGCTGAAATCCCTGCCGTTGAAGTACAAATAGACCTTTTTACCAAGACCTTTTTACCAGAAGCTGTGACCATAGGCATTGGCAGAAAACCCAACAATAGTCCCTTTCTTAACTTAGTTCTGCATATTTTCACAGCAACATACTTGAAGAGCTGGTGTTCTTGATTGTAGGTTTGATCCACATAAGCTCCTTAATTGCATCCACTGAGGAAGTATAAGAAAATTATCTTCTAACAAGATTAAAAGTTACAACTTCTCCATTGGTATTGCAAATAAAGTAAATTAAGATTCCAAACTTTCTTGGTTTGGATTGAGGATTTAATCTTAAATTAAAAGGCATATTATTTAAAAGTTACAAGCAAGCAAATAGGATTTGGTTTCAAAGGGCATGTATATATAATATTTTTCATGGTTGAAGGTAGGAGTGTCAATAAGCCAAGCCAACTCACAAGCTGTTTGAGCATTAAGTCTCGAGCCGAGCTTGAACTGAAATTTTTTCGAGTTAAACTCGAGCCTCAAGTCGAGCTCGAGTTTAAAATTTTCAGGCTCGTTGAGTTTCGAGCCAAGTTTAAGCTGAACTAAATTCTATCGAGCCGAGCTTCGGGTTTGACAGGTTCAAGCTCGCTCGGCTCATTTTTCAAAGCTCGCTCGCTTCATTTTACACTCATAGGTGAAGGAACTAATGAAAATATATGATTATAGATTATTTATTAAGAAATGGTACCTGGGCTGCTGCATACCTCTGACTCTTTGCTTCTGGAATCGCAAAGGCATATTTGGTCCGTAACAAGCAAAAACGAAAAATAAATTGATTTTGCTAAAGAATGATGGGTGAACTTTGCTGTGATCAATAAGCAATAATGAGAATTCAAAGACAGATCAAAACTTAAGAAGCACAATAACATGCTGCAATGGATTCTTGAATTTAATAGACTTTCTTTTTGTTGAATGAAATGCAACAAGACTTCTAAAATTCTTTTATTGCATGAAAAATTCACGAGGAAGAGTTCATCAAGAGCATAAAATAGGCAAACCTGAATGCTAAATTGTTCCACGTCAGCCGTCAATCTGGTAAGAAACAAAAGATCGGAAGATTTTAGGTTTTATAATTGCCACAAAGTTTAATGCAAAACACTAAAAATATTATCCAGGAAGTTAAAATGGATCAACTCTAGCAATATTTGTCTTGTTTTAAGTCTACAAGAAATTATATTTCTTACTCCAGTTTCTTCTTTAACCTCCCGAACTGCAGCTTTACAGATATCCTCTCCCTGAAGAAGGAAAATTTCTGTTTATTGATGTAAAATATCATATAAAAAGATAATAAAACAGAGTCAAACTGCACTCGTATTCTCACCTCATTGACAACCCCAGTTGGTAGCTTCCATAAACCTGTATCTTTAAATGCACCACCCTTCTCCTGAACTACAAGCACCTATAAAATGAAACAATTTGACTTCAAACTTAGAAGTTGTAGCTAATGGGCTGTAATATCAAACACATAATATAGAGATTTAATAAAATCCAATCCTAGTTCCGAAAATAGGAGATATTTCATTGCACCAAAAGCCTATCTTCAACCAGCACTCAAAGCCAAAAGTTAAGTGACAAGAACCAGTAAATACCTCGCTATTATCATTTACTACAAAAGCTCCAATACCCACTCGATGTGTAGCATTTACTGGAAGAGTATCGGCGGTATTAGGTAGCCATCGCACCAACATCAAGTAATCTGTCGCACCAACATCAAGTAATCTGATTCAGCATGATGATACCTAAATCCTTCCTGCAGAATAAACAGAACAGATTGTAAGAAGATTGATACGCCAATAAAATATTTTCTAATAGTTATTTCTTTTACGTTCCCCTCCCAGCCTTTGATGGTCATTTTTAACTTTCCCTCAATTTCTATTTGTGTAACAGTAAAGGGGGCCTAACTATAATACGGCAAAAACTACATCGGAATGTTGACATGAACCATCCAAGAGTAATAAAATCAATTTTTAAAGCCACATCATCATTTGACTCAGGTAAATTATTTTCTCTCTCCTCTTTATCTCTAATTTTCTACCCATTTGAGAAAACCTCAATCACACATCCCTCCCTGCCACCACCATTAATCCAATACTCCATTGCCAATAGATAAACCCATCAGACTTCTCCTCCTTTCAATCTTCTAATCAGTACACATCTAATCTAACAAATAATTTCATCAAATATGTTAACTACAAATTAAAAAGAAAAATTAGGAGTCACAAATAATTAGAATATCCCACTGTAGATTGATAAGGACTCAAAATCTATTTCCAAATTTAAATCTCCCCTCAATGACTCGCAACTTCTTTATTTCTTTGACAGTGACAATGCCTCAAATCCTTATAACTTTGCCTCAAAAACTAACACCCACCAATTATTACCAAATAACCCCACACCCAAAATAGGAATAAGCAAAACTAAAACTTTCATTATTTTGCGAGGTGAATCCTTTGAAATATTTTCCTTTTATTTTCCACAAACAAACATTTTTTTTGAAAAATATTTTAAAAAATATTTTCGAAACCTAAGTTATTTCCAGAAACGAACAGAGCCTAAATCAAGCAAAAACATGCATTTAGCAGTACCTCTAATCCACTCTTCTTCAATCACTCCAGAGATTTCTCATTTCAAAAGACTCAAAAATTTGAATATGAAAACAATAAGTCCAAAATTAATTGTATAAAATCTTGATTGGAAAATCTATAATTAGTTGCGACTCTATTTCGGCGTTGAGATTTCACCGAGTTGAGCAATGATGTGACGTGGGTTTTCAACGTCTTAGGCGTAGGCGATCTTCGAAGCTTTCTTTGCTTGGAAACACTAATTTTATAATTATCAAGAAGAGTGCCCGTGAAGAGTCGAAGCAACATTTGGAAATTCTTTGAGGAAATCTTTGAAGTTTTCTTTGAATGATGATTTGCCTTTCTTATTTTGATGTTTGAGAATTCTTTTGCAGTGTTTTGTAGGGTTGAGTCAATATGATGGAGAAAGAATGCAGAGATAAAGAGAGAGAGACAGAAGAGCGGCGGGTTGGATAGGACGGTGGTGTGGGTTAGGAAACATAGAGATGGAGAGAGAGGGAGCCGAGGTAACAAGGAAAAAGCGAGAAAGAGAGATTGAAAGAATGTCCAGGAGAGAGAATTATGGTACGCTTTATTTTTATTTTTTCACGCACCCTAGTCGCCACGTCACTTGCATTTCACCGGGATAAGGTTCGGGTAGTTTTGTTTTATAAAAATGAAAGTTTAGACGTTTTAAGTGACAGATTTAAGATGAAATACCATGAAGTGATACTCTCGTAAATTGAGAGATACCGAGTGAAAGATAGTCGTGCATAATGTCAACAAAATTATATTCGGTTGAAATGTAATATTTATGTCATTAAAATTTTAGTTTCACGTATAAGTCTAGTCATTCATTAAATCATTAGTTTAAAACCTTCCAGATTATTTATTTAAAGAGTTTGGACTTCATATGTAAGTTTAGCTAAACCAGTAGTTCAAGACCTTTTAGATTTTAATCCGAATCCTTATGTATCTAAAGTTTTATTGTTCCATACTAGGTTTCAAACTTTTCTTTTTCTACTGTTTTTTTTCCAATTTGAAATTAACATTGGATTGAAACTACCGGTCAAAATATTTAAAGTAAATTATAAGTTGAACTAATATCTTCTATTTTTGTCTAGTTTAAAATCGTAATTTTCGAACATATTCAGATTTGAATGTTTCTGAAATTGATTTCTAAACTTGAAATATTAAGTTTTAAGAGAGAACTTATATGTTTGACCTTCCAAAATATACTAATGTAATGTACATACCTGAACTACTGGATAAACGAGATTAACAAGTTGGATTGGCAATTTTATCCAAACACCTCTCTTCCCCTAATAAAAACACAACAAAATAATAATGATTTAATGAGTACATGACAAACTATTACTCTATCTATCCATAAATATAAATCGTTTAAGATTTTTTTTTACAAAATTAAAAAAGGAATTAATTCCTTACATTATAACAAAAAAGTTCATTAATTTAATTAAATTACTCTTTACCTTCCATTATTAATAAATTAATATGTTTAATACATATAAGGGTAAAATTAGAAAAAAAAATTCATTCATACTTCTTAATGTTCTCAACTTATATTTGTGGGAAAAAAAAAAAGTCTAAAATGACTTATATTTATGGAGGAATCACAAACAGTGTCGATAATAATTACCTGTTGCTTCCATTGTGAAAGGGAGGCTCTAAGTAAAGGAACAAAAATGTCGGCGTCCATATGCTGCTTCATTTCTACAACAACTCCATCATATAAATCATCAACTGCATCAAGCAATATGCTGCTTCATTTCTACAACAACTCCATCATATAAATCATCAACTGCATCAAGCATTCCAACCATCTGATCCTTCAAAGGCATTCTACTTGTGATGGCTAGCACGTCGATATAATACTGCAACCTGGAGGAACGAGCCAAAAATAGAAGATTCATTTACTTTTTTCTTTAAAGCATTTTCTGTAAGTAGAAAGCATCTTATTCTTATCTCAAAGGAAATTTCCGAGCACAACCAGCCAACATTACAACTGGTCCTGCCATTTGGCATTTCTGCTTCTAGAAAAAAACTAACAACTTTGTCTGAAACTCCAAATTTGGAAAAGAGAATCTAATACATTGTAGGATAGTCTTGGTTTTTCCTTGAGACATTTTATCAAATACATAAGGGCAAGACTCAAACTATGCATATATACTTACCTTCCTTTTCAAATATCAGAAAAAAGAAATGGTGCAGCTCCAGGAATAGGATTGTTGGAAAGTGGTGAACTTGCATAAGAATATGAAAGAGTTTGTTGGTTCTCAATATGTGATTCTTTATTTAATAGAAAGATAATCTCTCTGCATATACATATGAATTGTCGTTCGGATTAATAAAGAAGAGTTTGGTTTTGACAGTTTCAGTTGTGTCTGTAAAATCCGTCAACTTTGGATGGAAGTACAGAATTGAATTGATCAATTCAATTCTTTGCAATACGGCGATGAAATCAATGACTCAAGCGCTGCTTTTTAGAATAAACAATTGATGAAAACTGCTAAGAGGGTGAAGATTAATCTGTTCAAATCTTTGGTAAACAAATATGTTTCTGTTGATTAATTTAGCACATAGAATGTGTGGTTGGCGGGAAAGAATTACCTCTAAAACGAGATTAGTTCATATCTTATCTCAAACCAATGGATAGTATAAAAAACTATTTTCTCCATTCAAAAAAGTTATCATCTCCTCTTTGCTCACGCAGTTGAATTGTTGAAGAAAATATAATAAATGTGACGGTAACTTATATTTATACATTACTCCCAGATTAATTAATTAACCAAAAGTAGAATAAACATTTTTTATTGAAAAATTATTTTTATTTAAATGTTATAATTGAAAATTAAGAGAATCAATCGATATATTTCTCTCAAGTCAGTCCATTTGCCTCTGAGGGCGAGTAAAAATTAATCAAGTTTGTGAGCCATTAAAACTGATATGTGTCTAGATATTTGTGCAAGTATTAAAAAAAAAAATCAATATAAGTATAGGTTAATTAGTTCTAGAGGTTTGATCTTATTCAGAAATTTAAGACTTTTATTTTAAAAATTGATTTAACGCATCTCATCATTTAATTTTTTGAACTATTTCTAGACTTAATTTAATACACTTAATTTGATATAATTGAATTTAAAATATGAAATTCATTTATATACGAAATTTTCATGTTGGCAATAAATTTAAATTTGAAAATTCATTTACTTTTATTTTTAAAATACATTTTAAAAGGCTAAAAAGATAGATAGTTGTGTCATAAAAATTTGAATTATTTATCTATTTATTCCAAACATGGGTAAATGTTGAATTTGGTGAAAAAAAAAATCGATTATAATCTATTTAATGTTATTTATCTTCGAAATCTTAAGCCTTTTATCATATCCTTTATTTTTGACTAAATAGAAAGTTGAGCAAAAGACTAAATAGTTGACAAAAACAAATTGTAAAGACCTATTAATTTGAATTTAATGTTAGGTGTTCTAATTAATTATAAATTATGTTAAATTTGAAAGATTAATAGCATTTAACCCTATATATCAGTCAAAATTCAACATTAGACTACAAATTTATAATAGAATAGCACTAATTAAGTTTGATTTGAAGAATTTCAAATAAAATATTTTCAGTTTGATGTTAATCTTTTCTTTAATTCAAAAAAATAACATAAAATCTACAGATGTATCAAAATTAATCCTCCACTAATTACAATCTCTATATCCACATTCCCTTCTCTTGAATCTAGGTTTGACATTTTCCTGATTCAAAAATGTTATATTGCAAAACAAAATTTTGTATGTGAGATTGAATGTTCTAGTTTTGTCAATTGAAAAATAAAAATCTTTTGTTTAATTATGAGAAATTCAAGTAAAAAAATAAAAATCGTTTTTTTAATTATGAGAAATTCAAGTAAATAGGTTTTGTTAAAATATTTATATTTCATTTTATATTGTGAAAATACCCTCAATAATGAATTTATTTTTCATTTAAAAACGAGAAAAATAAAAAACGAGAAAGATTATGTAAATACCTGAAATCAAAGGTAAAATATAAAGAATTGCAAAAGTTCTTGAAAAATGAAATTCATATTAAAAAAAATAAAACGATGCTATATGAAGACTAACACAATCCAAAATGATATATACAAACTAGATTTCGACATTTGTTAGACATGTGTCTTTACTTTGTTCATCAACATTAATAAAATTCATTGTGATTAAGGCAGCACGTGGGTCGGGTTGATTGATTTAAAGTACCTGATCTATATGTGTGGATCAATAATTTTTTTTACCCAATCCAATTCATTAAATGCGTGAATCCGCAGATTATAAACGAATTGGATTGAATTGGGTACGAATTTAGTATAAATCCGTGGGTCAAATAAATGATAATAACAAAATTATTTTTAAATAAAATACAACTCTTTAAAAGAATTAATAAAAAAATTAAATATACTTAAAATCTTAAGTTTAATATAATTTTCACAAACTACAAATATATTTCAATGACAATATTAAAATTAAATTTCTTAACATGTTCATTATTATTATCATCATAATCATAATCATAATCAACAAGAAAAATTAAATTTCCTAATGAAAAAGACGATTAGTAAATCAAAAATACTCATTAACATAATTACATAATATGTTTAATTTAAACTACAATATACTCCAAGAACAAACGTGATCTCTACTAAATATGTAAATAATTTAGTATTTATATTCAAAATTGCAAATCAAATCAACTAAATAATTCATAATTTATTTATGAGTTGGGTCGGGTCTGCAGGTTCATTTAATGAATATGTGATCCATCCTAACTCAACATCCTAACTCAACCATGGAATTGTAAGATGGCCCACCCAACCCAATCCATTATATTTCATTTCGCCAGGTTGAGTATGGGTGGCTGGATTGGATCGGTATCAAAGGGTCCCATGTGCACGCCTTAACCGAGCACGGACAAGACGTTTCAAGTTTTTAATTATAGGTTTAATTTTTTTTACGTCATCATTATTGACTATTTTGGCGAATACATGGTACTATTATTTCGGAAAAATCAGAAAAGAGCTTAAACCATCACCAAAAATTAAAAATTAAAAATATTAATATTCAAAATATAAATTACTCTTGCTTTTAACTTACAATTACAAACTTTAGTTTTTGATTGAATAACATCAATTTGATGTTATTCTTTTGGCAATTATTCTTGTGGTTTTCAAACTTTATGAGAACATATCATAACCCTACACTTTCACATTTCAGTAACAATCACGTCTCTTACCAAAATGAAACATGAAAGTGCATAGTCATAATTGAACATCCATAAAGTTATTTTATTTTGGTGAGAGATATAGTTATTATTAAAATGTGAAAGTGTAAAATTATAATTAAATTTTCATAAAATGCAAGGTCACCTGAAGAATCATCCAAATTTTAGGGTTATTAACTTCTTGCGAGAAGTGCTACAATTATCAAATAACACTCTACTAGGATGGCCAAAATTCGATGTTCGAAACTAGAACTGCCACTTTGGAACTGGTTGCAACTAGAATCGAAACCGTGCGGAAATGGAATTGAGAATTGGGTTTGATTCTGATTCTAAATTTTTTTATTTTAAAATTATATGAACAGCCTGAAACCATGGATTCCGCATTTTTTCATTTATGTTATAATTCCAAATATTTTGAAACCGGAACTGTGGCGAACCTACATTCCACAACCTAAAACATCCTGAAAAGGGTTTCTTCTTAAGAAAAAAAATGACACGGTTGAGATATTTTCGAGAAAAAATAACATATGCACAAAAAGAAAAAAAAAAAGCAAATAATTCATTAATGTCGGAAGATAACTGAAATGTTTAATGATGATACTGCAAAATGCATGTTTAGTTAAAATATAGTATTAATAGCAGAAAAGAACTCACAAAATATAAGTAAGAGAAGTATTTTGCATGCATACCTTTTAGCCTTTAGTCTTTTGAAACTCCAAACGAAAGAAAGACAGCCTTTTAACTCGATGAATATACGAAGTGGATCTGCCTTGTACGCACATATTTGTATTCATATATACACACACATACGATCTTTCCTCGCATCATCGCATGTGTATTTTAGAACATGCGAGGATCCAGACAATACACGTTTCTACTATTCAAGTACTCCACTTTTCTTCGTTATTTCCACAGTGGTGCTTGCATGACTCCACATAGATTCAACTAATATACACGTTAGTCGTACTTGAACGCTTTACAAAAGGTAGGCATTTTACAAAATATTGGTAATAAAAATATTATTTTGTAGACCACCAACCTTTTTTTAAAAAAAAAAAAAATCATTTTTCATAAAATATTAGCAACTGGAGCTATTACTTTGTGATCATATAACTTTACAAAAACAGGCTTTTACTACCGTAGAGAAGTGAGTAAATTCTGTACCCATACAAATTTTTAATCTATTGACACATGTCTAATTGAGTAATTCCTGTACCCATACAAATTTTTTAATCTATTGACACATGTCTAATAAACTTTGTTATATAGATTAACAATTACAAATTTACTGTTTTGAATAATATTATTTTTCAAATTTAATTTTGAACTAGTTTTTAATTCTTGTTGTTTTGCAATCTTTTTTAGTTCCTTCCAGATTTGATATCTTAATTTAATATCAAAAATATTTCTTATATTTATGTTTTTATAATAATTCCAAAAATAAAATGAAAATTTATAATTATCTTCTTCTAAATACATGACTAGAATTAAAATCTAATTTATACTGGATTGAACACCGCAAATTCTCCTCTCAACAAAAAAATTTTGATCTCGTAAAATAATATACAAATAATTTTTTAAATTGTTCGGCAACTTAATAATAT